CGCTTTTGTAGTTTGCTTTTAACTTACATTAGATACAGCAGAGTTCGACTTTTCATTCCTCACTACAATGACAAAATGAAGAAAACTAACAGAGAGAAAGCTTCCACAAACACTAAAAGAATCAGAGATGAGGACAAAGAGTCACAAAAGCACTCAAGAATAGTGACAATGAACTTCATTATGGACATGAAACTTTAAACTGTAAATTTTCAGGTGACGATAACCTATATCCTTTCAGACTCAAGAATTATGAATGGACAACACATTCGTACAGACAAAAAGAAAATGTGGTGTTTTCATGCAGCGTCATTGAAGAGGAAGGACCTCATGAAATGATACTTTGTGATAAGAACCTGTCCCACCTTCTTTTGCTAAATGAATGTGGGATAGTATTCGTTCACCTTTTGTGATATTTGGATATCAAAATTTTACTTTACATACAGCTTGAAAATGGGCAAATGGTAGGGTTGTATACACAGATGCTGAAAAGGAACAGATAAAGTAGAAGTGAAAGAACAGATTTTAAAAGCTTAAAAGAGTTCATTGGACTCAAACAATAACTGTTGATGATTATTTTTCCTGGCATATTGGAGGCTAAATTCATGTGTATACTACTCAATGTACGAGGTTCTATAAAAATGTAAAATTCCATTAATAAGGTAATTTTTTTTGTATTTCTATTCAAATTTGTCATCTTGAAACAGGAGCTGAAAGTATAATTCAGTGTTAGAGCACTTGCCTAACATGGACAAGTTCTTGGGTTCAAACCCACCACCTAGGAAAGCAAACAGAAGGTTAAAAGTGTGGGCCCTGGAGCTCTACAGCTCTGGGATGAAATCCCAAGCCCAATACTTCATGCATGACCTTTGGCAAATTAGTCGGTCTCCCTAAGATCCAGTTCCCTCATCTGTAAAATAAGGATTAAAAATTACTTCCTCTTTTATAGAGTCTTATTGAGAGTAAATTTTGCTTGTGAAGTGCTTAACATAGTGCTTGGCAGAAAGGAAAAGATATATATCAGCTATGCATAGTGATTTTTATTATCGCTGAGTTGCTTAGAACAGCTCTGCTTATATATCAGATTTGGGAACCTAATATATGTGAAATGATAACCAAATCAACTGATCACCAACAGAATGTGTCACTGCTGATGCCTGTTGCTCCCACCAGGTATTCACATTCCAAGAGAAATAAAGCTGAGGAGTGGAACGCGTCAAGTTCTCAGTGGGCAGACTGCTCGAGAGGCTGCGGACGCTGCCAGCTTTTAGACTCAACTTTAATCTCTTACACCAGGAAATTGCTTTCTCTAAATTTTAGATTGAACAGGCATTACTTGAATGAACTCAAATCATACACAAAATATATCAAGAAAAGGTAAAAGTCTAAAATCTTACTAGCCAGAGTAAACACTGTTAACCTTCAAAGCTTTTCTCTGTAGCTATGCACATGTGTGTATAATTTTACAAAAAGCACTATCATATCGTTGGTGGTATTTCATAGTCAATTTTGCATTCAATTTTGCATTCAATAATATCTTTCTACTTTAGTCAAAAGAGATTTCTATGTTTATTCTTAGTAGGGCTCCCACTTTCAGAGACACAGTGGCAGTTAAAATAAAACAGGAACATCTACCTTTAAATAATGGCTTTGCATGTAAACTGAGGTGAGCTATGCAGTCCAAGTGGATTTCAAAGCAATGGGAATTTTTTTTCTCTTATGGAAGTACTGGCGCGCGAGAAGGCAACCTATGCTCAGTATGTGCTGTGTGACACGCCCCATTCCGTAAATAGCTATTGCTCATGGAATGTGAAACTTGTGGAATTGAACTTTTAATAAAATAAGATTGTTTTCTAACCTCAGTAAATTTTCAGGGCTTAAGACTTTCATTTCTATCTAGATCACAGCTCTTTCAGTTGGCATCAAAAACTTATTTCTGAGTGCTAAATAAATACAAAAAATATTGGCCTGGCCTGGGTCTTACTTTCTCTTGCCAGGTTCTCTCCAGAGGCCAGACATGTGTGAGTCCTAATCCCCTGGATGCCACTGTGTCTCCGCATAAGCACAGTGGTCTGTAGACTCAAACAGTGATGTTCTCACCCAGGATACTTTAGGGACTTTTATCTAGAAATCTGATCTCACTACTTCTGGGATTCAATTCCACTCTGCCAGAAGTCAGAAGCATGAATGAAAAGATGTCCATGTGCCATGACTATTTTTACCTGTTTCTATATTCTTCTTATGGCTTACTTAAAACCTCAGGAATGGTTTTGCTACTCTGCTCCTAGATAATAAACAGCTATAACAAAAGAATCAGTGTTACAGAATTTTTTGCAGGTTTAGAGATAATGTTCACAGTTTTCAAACTTAGATAAGAGTTCACAGCACTGATTTTACTCTGAAAGTGGCCTAAAATAATGTGAAAGAACCTGACTGCTATTGTGGATGACAGGGAGCTTTAAACTGGGGACAGGGGAGGTGGGATGAGGCAAAGGACTGCAGGGCCCAGGCGAGGAAACACAGTGAGGGAATCCTACAGGGGCAAGAGCAGTGGGTCTAGGCCACACCAAATCCAGACCCTGGGGACACTGACAGAGAGGCGGGCAGGTCAGCCCAGCTTCAGCCAGACCAGCAAGCAGACCGACGGGGTGGTCAGACCAGCCACCCAGCAAAGGTTCCAAAAGCCAAGTTCATATCAAGCAGACTTGGTTCTTCTTACCAGACAAAACCTTTTGTATTAAATCTGGAGGAAAATACCTGATGGACGAAAATAGCTGATGAATCCCCTAGACACAGGCATCTAATTCTCCTCCTCTGACATCATGGCAAGGGGAACTGGAGGCTTCCCTGGTTCCTCAGGAAAGTTAGTTATTCGTTATGTTAGTTAGTGGCAAGGAAACCCAGAAATGCATCTGCACCATTGTTTTATGTGTGTGTGTGTATGTGTGTGTGGTTTTTGGAGACAGTGTGTTGCTACGCAGTTCGGACTCGCCTTGAGTTCACTTTGTAGCCCAGGCTGGTCTCAAACTTCACAGTGATCTTCCTGCCTCAGTCTCCTGAGTGCTGAGATTATAGGCATGAGCCATCACACCCAGCTATCTGCACCATTCTTTCCCCGACTATCTTCCCTCCTAGGCAGATAATTAACAACAATAAAAGCAAAAACAAAAAACTATCACTACAGGAAAACCTAATGATGATGAGTCATTATATTAATAAGTAACCTTTATGTAACAAGCCATGTACTTCTATGCTATTAACAGTGAAATGCTGAGAAATGGTTTTCTTCCTTTTCATGGCCTTTATGACAACAGTTCTTAAATGTAAGATTCCAAACTCTAGGAGCTTGTCAGAAATGTGAGTTCCTGGGTTCTGCCCTAGATCCAGGGAATCAGACATTCTAGGGGCAAGGCCCAGCAATTTGCCTCTTAATAAGCTTCTGGCAGATTCTTACGGAAGTTCAAGTTTGACAGCACAGACTTAGTGGAAAAAACCTGGGACAAGAGCCAGAAGACCTAATTCAGGTTCCAGCTCTGGATTCTGTGGTCTCATTCAGTGAGATTCAATGAAGAGCCACGATGTGATGTGCCTGTCTGTGCACCGAGGCTAGTGCAAGGATTTGAGGACGCATGATAGACACGGTCTCACCCTCAGAGTGCTCCTAATCCTCTATATTCTTCTGCTCCTCTAGCAGAGGAGTTATTTTCGTTTTTCTTGTTTCTTATTTTTATTTCTAAAGTCTGCTTTTGCAGCATCACAGGCACTCAATAAACATGCAGTGGGTTAAATGGAGAGGCCATTCACAACTCATCAACAACCTTAATGTCATCCCAGTCAAGGAAGCACCAACCACTGCCGATTTAGTGTTTCTCACATGTCAATGCTGGGTGTCCCTCCGTTTGTCAGCTCATCCAGTCCTTTCAACAACCATCCCATGCTGTGGGGAATTTTCTTAGCCCCACTGAGCAAAAGAATATCTGAGGATCAAAATATTAAGTAATTTTTCTGATGCTATGCAGCTAGAAAGTGGCAGAGCCAGTGTCACGCTCACAAATATCTTTTTCCAAGTTTACAGTTAAAAGGGACTAAAGGTATAAACTGCCTTATGGGTAAATCTCCCTAAAGCCTCTCAGGTTCGTGGCAAATTATCTTCTCATCATGTTTTTACAACTGCATGATGCGGGTGTTGCTTTTAGTGATCAAAGACTAAGAAAATCAAGAGCTGGGGGAGCTAGGCTTTCAGGGGACAGATACAAAATTCTTAAAATAAGATATATATATATATATATATATATATATATATATATATATATGTTTTTTTTTCATTTTGCTAAGCACAATCCATTGCCCCAAATATCAATGAACTATCACTAGAAGGGGAAGAACAAACAAACAAAAAAACTGATGTTAAAAAAGTACAAAAGCTGTAAGTCTAGAATAAAAGTGAGTCCGTTGCATTACATACATTTTCTCTACACAATAATCATTTTGTCCTTTTTTTAAAGTTTGATTAGATTGGTGTTTGGTTCCCATCAAGCTTAAAGAAGTAGAGAGTGAGGGGTGGATTACACTAATAGACTGTCCTGCCCTTTAAAAGTCAAGCAAAATGATTCACAGGTGAAACAAAAACAGGCACAGGTCAGGCCAGGGCAGTCTGAGAGGGCACTGGCCAGGCCTCGGGCAAAGGATCCCAACTCAGGCCTGCCGGGGAGAGAAGGGCAGAAGTGAGTGTTGCCGCAAGGCACAAATGCATCGGGTGCTCGGGTTGTGGGTCCTGCAGAATGAGCCAGCATTGAGTTGCAGGAAAACGAAGCAGCAGAAAGGTGAAGGTGGCAGAGGTCTGCAGTGAGTCTACACTGTGATGCCTGTGCAACTACGATGCATGGGTTTAGCAGTGGCTCCCCCCCCCACCCCGTCACCTCGCTCTCTTCACGTTCTATAATCAGAAGCTATAAACAACTGAGGTGGGGGAAGAAAACTTACACCACAAGCATAGGCCTCACCTTACTAGGAGGGGGTCCGTGGTCATCCAAGTAAGTGGAATTTCCTAGAAAACAGAAGAAAAAGTTTCTCGGTTAGCTTTTCTCCCCCAAACAAATTTAGCACAAACTCAATGAAAGTTAATATTCCAGGTATATTTCTATTCAGAGAACAGTACCACAGAAAAATGGATAATCATTCATCACCAGATTAGCAAGGTTTCACTGATATCATCATGCTCAGTTAACAGTTTTGGGAGTTACAAATATTCTATCCACTTACGTGTGCATATTCATAAACAGACACAGAAACATGCATCATTATTTCACATCAGTGCCTGTTGTTTCTACCTTGGGCCTCTGGTTCTCAAACTTTAGTTTGCACCAAAATGACCTGCTAGGCTTGTTAAAACACAGACTGCCCAGCTCCCTTCCCAGGGTTCCAATTCAGTGACTTTGAGAACCTACATTTCTAACCACCAAGTGATTTAGATGTTGTGAGCCCAGGAACCACACTTTGAGAACTCCTACACTCTGTTTTTCCAGATTGCATTGAAAAAAAATTTTTGTTTTTGGTACTAGGGATTGAACTCACTAGATTGCCTTGAATTTGTAAATTTCCCTTCTAGTTTTTAGTCTAGTTTAGTGTAGTCCTTGCCAATAGCCATCTACTGGCAGGTGTGTTTTCAGAGTGCATGGTTATTGTTCTCTGGTGAATAAAAGACACAAGAGGGCTTGGAAGTGAATTAAAATATTTTTTAAAGCACTAGGTCAGTGAAGGTGAATCTTTAGAGACAAGTATCCAATTGCAACCTAAAACCCCCTTATTTATCACAAAGTGCTAACACTGTAATTAAACCTGAATGCTGAGGTTTTAAGTTTAAGAAAAACATTTTAAATACATCTTTTGTCTCAAAAGAATAAACAAGAGTGGGGAATATAGCTCAGTGGCACAGCACTGACCTGGCAAGCACAAGGACATTTGATTTTGAGTACCAAAACAACAACAAAAATATATGCCACATGTTCAACACTGCTGTAGTACTCTGCTAAATGTTTTATAGGTACTACTTCATCTAATTTAAATATTCGAGGTAAGGTATATCTGTCCCCATTTTACAGAGAAGAAAACAGAGGCCTGGAGAATTTGAGCAATTTTCTCACAGTCACATGACTGTTAAACTGCAGACAGTAGAGAAGACTGATTTGTCCAGAGCATGCCTGGGCATCCACCCTTCTGAAAAGCCTACCTGCAGTCCTGCCATCTTTGGCTTCTGTACAGCCCAGGCATTGCAGATGTTACTATCTGATGACAGCACATCATCTGGAGGAGACCAAAGATCCCACAGATTCCAGCTAATCAGAGGCTCCTAGCTAACTCCTGGGAATCTAAGGAAATCATCCTTACCAAAAAAAGTACACATGACCGGACTTGCTAACGGAGCAGAATATGAAGACATTAGGATCACAAGGATACTTAGAGATACTAAGAGATTCAGGAGTGTAATAGTTCGTCCTAGCACTTGAGTAGATGAAATGTGCCTTGGTCAGTATAGAGGAAAAGTCGCTTTGGAATTAAAAAGGAAAACTAGGATTAGAAAGAGAAATAAAGTAGATCAGAGGCCAGGAGCAGTTCAACTGGGACAGCTAATTCAAACACCATAAATAAGTGGCATTTGGCTTATAAATTTTTCCACAGTGAGTCACCATCCTTCTCTTTTTCATAGTAGTGCTCTGATTTATAACCCACCAGGTATCCACAGGGACTGTGCTCTAATTGACCACTTGTACACAGTAAGGGGACAACAGGGTCCAATTTTAATATACAAGACACAAATACAGGCACCCGCCATGGTCATGATTGGACTAGTTTCAGGAAGCTTTTAAATGTGAACATGACGAACAATTTGTTAGGTCTTAATTACTGTGCTGAACCCTACAGGAACAACATAAAGATATATGTCAGACTTAATAAAGAGGCTACGCATAAACACAGTTGCTATGTCAAGTCAGCTTTTTAGGAATATTCCACTATAAGGCAACCAGTAGAGCTGCAGAGTTCCCATCTGCTCAGCATGAGAATGTGCCTTTCCCAGCAGGGATATGAGAAATCCCAGCACACTCCTGCATGTTCCCCAGTATTCAACACAAGGAGCAAAGATAGCTTCAACAACAAAATGCTTCTGAAATACTAAAAGTAACCCTAAGAACCAGAAATCCTAAAAACAAAAAACAAAACAAAACAAAAACAAAAACAAAGAGCCTTCCTACAATGGAATGATTCAAATATCTGATCACTTCTCAAACTCTAGACCAGGCATGCTGGACATCTATCTTAGCACTTCAGCTTGGAGGCTAAGGTATCTTACACTTCACTCATCCAAACCACAGCTCTTTATTAGCTCCAACTCCATTTCCCAAATCCCTGCCTTCTCTACGCTCTTTATTGGGTTGCATGTTATAACCCTTCCCCCAAGTATGTCCCTTTATTCAGGTCCAACTCAAGAATCATCCTTGGTTCATGTCTCTCCTCCATCCCATACTTACCATCCGGTTTCCTGCTGCATTGGCCTTCAAATGATAAATCAGTTCATATATATTTGTATTCTCATCAGTCCCTCTGGACCATCTAAAAGAGTTTCTGTGACTTTCATCTATTGCTTGTTTTCTCCTCTACTTGTATAGCAACCAGAGAGAGCTTTAACCTTGTGAATTTGACCATGTTAGCACACTGCTTCAAATCTCTTCCTCTATGACGCTCACCTTGGCCTATAAGGTGATACAAGGCCTGCTTCCTACCACCAACAGCCACAACAACCTGCCTTCTGTTCCAGAAGACACCAACCCACTGTCCACTAGGGGCCCTTGGAACTTTCCTCCTCCAGAAACATTCTTTGTACCCCCTCCTTCAGACTCAACTCAAATCTTCCTTCCTTGCAGATCCCTCTCTGACTCCCCATCTCAAATAGCACCCTCATTTATTGGGTCACTTGCTGTCTGTCTCTTAGTTAGTGTGCAAGTACTGTGAAAACAGGGGATTTTCTGCTTTGTCCATCTCTATGGGAACATTGTAGGTACTTAACATTTGCTTAATGAATGAAATACCAACTACATACACTCTCTACACTAGAAATTTTAGCAATGGTTGTAAGAAACCAACCTACTCTTAGCCACAGGGTTTGCAATATTTTTAACAAGTGAAAAAATGCTAATCATGGAATTTTAGGGGTGAGGGCTATACAGAAATCTGTCTTGTAATTTATCCCTTTATAACTCAGTATTATAACTCAGTGCCCGCCTGATACTGGGTAATTTTCTTATTCTCCCAGAATCTATTTCTTGTGTTAACGGAGATAAGATGGTCTCTAGCTATGGCGAGATTAAAATGATGTACATATGGCAGTTAACTCAGGCACAAAAATAAAATAAGTCTGAGACAAAAGTTAATAATGTGATTGTTATTATTGTTAACTGTCCATTTAACACTGTGGAGTCACCACATCTAGTTTGCAAACCCTCTCCCAGAAGCTTCTAGATTATTATTTTTATTAATAAGTAAACTAACCCCTCATGGGCACAGTCTGAGTCTTACATCTTTGATTCAACATGCAGTTTTACACGTGTGCAATGCTGAAACTAAAAAAAAGAGAAGAGAGTATCACAGCAAAATGACCAATTACATCCCTTTTGTATCCAAAGCCCCCCTTTTAAAAGGACCTTGTCTTAAAGGTCACCTTAACAGTTATGTCTGTACTAAATTATTTCTTTGGATTAGTGAACAATACATAGCTGACATTTTATGGGACAGGATAATGCATACTTCAAATTTGAGAGGCCCTGATAAGCATGACAAAGGTCTGCAAACACTGACAGGGCTGTGCTGGCATGCACAAGTTGTCCTGATTAAGCATCCTTTCATCTATTAATTTAGTCACCATTTATGGGGTGCTTTCTATTTTATAGAGGGACCTAGAAACCAAATAAGAAATCTATTCTCACCAATGTACTGTATAATAACCTTTACTGAATGTTCACTGTTTGTTAGGCACTTTTTAAAAATTGTTTCACCTAATCTTCACAAGAATCCCATGAGGTGGTGTATGTTAAATATCTTGCCTAGGCCACACAGCCAGTGAATGACACAGCAGTATTTGAACACCTACAATCTGACTACTGTTGGTATCCTTTGCTCAGTAAAAGGCAAAAATATTTTAAGATATTCATTACCTTGTTATCTTTCCCCTTCCTTCCGCCCTTCCTCCTTCCATTTCAGGCTTTCATCATCAGATCTTGTGACCCAGAAAATGAGAAAGCCAGATTGAACACTTCTTTCTGCACACAGCAGGGACGAGGGCTCTCCAGTGTTGGCAGTTGGACCTTGGGGCTCATAATCTCACCAGCAGATCGCTAGTTATTTCCCCAAAGTTTATCAGAATCCAGAGGCGATAAATGTCTTGTGCTGGCAATAGACATTTAGGAAGGGGAAAAAAAAGCCACACTGAGACAAGTGTTTCTGTGGCTGCAGGCAGCAAGTTCCTCTTTTTCTAAGGTATAATTGCTTGGTTACTTGGTATTTAGGCAGAGCTTTTCATCCTAGGATCTTACACTTTCATAAGGCAAAGTCAACAAAACTGTCAGAATTTTTAAAATTGAAGCCTGTAACTTGTTCGCTGTGGAGATCAAAGGATGAACCATTATCCACACTGGCAGCCCTGAATAGGGGAAAAGACTCTCAGGTATCAAAGCATTTCTGACTGCTCCGCCCCTCAGAGGACTCTATGCAATGTGTTAACTTGGGGGTAAAGAGGAACAAGACTCAAGCCCTTCAGGGGTCTGGGCCTGAGCTCAAGCTCTGAATTCTGGGAGGGAATTACAGGTGAACGTAGGATGACAAGAATGTGGAGCTGGGGCAGAGGACAAGCCCTTGCCTGATACCACTTCCACGTGCCTGTGCCTGCACCACCGAGACAGCCTGCTCTCAGATCTGGATGGCAGGAATGTGTCACTTCAGAGCCCGCTGGGGCACACCATTTCCTTTCTTTCCAGAAAGTAACCAGCACCTTGAGAA